TTTTGAAAATTATTTTCTTCTTCAAAAATTATTTTATGAAGTTTGGAACACTTGGAAAAACTTTCTAAATATTTTCTATTAATCAGCATCAATAAAAGATTGTGCAAAACTCCATTATAACAACCCAAATCCCATATCATGATGAAAGTGTGAGCATAAGTGGTATATAGATGTGGAGATTAACTATCACTAATACTTTAACTTAAACTTTTGAGAGCCTGTGCACCTTGGCCTGAAGAATTATTAGGCCAATGGTGGATTTTGGCCTAGATTGTTTTAGTTAGAATTAGAGCAACTAACTCTCTCCTATCTTGTGTTTGTGGATCAATGAGTCTTGTTCTAATTGTAATTAGGCCTGATGAAGACATCGAGCATTTAAGTGGAAGAGATTGTAAGTCTTCAAATCTCTCTCTCAAGTGTAGGCTTATGCTGACCTACTTGAGGTAGATCTTGTGTTTGTGGGTTAGTAGGTATTGTTCTAATTATAATTGGGTTTGATGAGGACATCAAGCAGTGAAGAGAGATTGTGATGTCTCAAATCTTTTATCAAGGTGTGAGTATGAGTGATATATCTAACTACTACTAACAACTTAAGTTTAAATTTTTGAGAGCTTAGGTTCAAAAAAGACAAAAATTTGAGAGCTTATAAACTTTTGCTCGAAAAGTTGTTAAACTAGTGATAGACTTTGACTTAGGTTGTTTCAGTTAATATTAGAGAAGTTATCTCTTGTAGGTATAGGCCCATGTTGACCATCAAGTGGGTGATAATGCGCACCTCATATCACTTAAAGTGGATCTTGTGCTTGTAGCCTAGTGGGCTTTGTTTTGATTGTTAATGGGCTTGATAAGGACATCAATCATTTAAGTGAGGGAGATTGTGACAACCTGAATCCTATATAGGGATAAAAGTGTGAGTGTGAGTAATATATAAGTCTAGACTAATTGACTATTAATTTATTACTAATAACTTAAACTTAAGCTTTTAAAGTTTTGTAGACCTTAGCCTGAAGAGAAATAAAACTAGTGGTGAGTTTGGATTTAGGTAATTTCATCCCTATTGCTATGTCTTTCTTAACAACCACAACTATGTCAACATACATCTCAATATTTTCAATTCATAGTATCCAACCACTACCATACAATTTGATATTAAAAAAAAAAAAAAAAAAAACAAAAGTGACAAAGGTTGTCGCAAACTAAAATGCAAAAGATAGTCATAGGAAACTAAATAGTTAAAATATTGTCCAATGCCGTAACTAGATAAAGAGTAAGGGACTTCATTGAATATCAATATAGGTTATTAAACCTAAGCAATAATACTATTAAAAGGCAACCAATCAACATTATGGCACTATGTAAGTGAAAACTTGTTACTTATGGGTGCAAAGAGCTTAAGCTTAGTATGGTGAGCCACCTCGGTGAAGATCACCTTGGAAAACCCCATCAACAATTGAAACGGTGATGTAGCTCAAGTTACATCAATGAATTTTAGTAAATCACTGATGTGGCTAACAATACTAAATAGCGATTACTGATCAATGAGTAAAATCTCATACATTAAACAACAAGATAAGCCATGTATTCACAGATATGGTATATGAAGCTATATAAAGGCATGTGTAAGTTTATACACTAGAGTGAGTATATTATGTCCTAATACTTTGCCACTTTGGTGAATATATTTTCACCTAAATGGAAAGCATTGCTCTATAATCATGAATAATTTTATTTGTAATATTATTTTAAAATAAATTGTCAACAACATAAAATAAATTATTAATAATTTTTTAACCCAAAAAGATCAAATATTTTTTTAACCACAATATAAATCTCATTTAATCCTACAAATTACACAACTCAACAATTCAAATTATAGAATAACAATTAACAATATAATGAAATTTAATAACTTAGGAATTGATATAACTATTTTTAAAAACATGCAAAATGTATTTTTTACAAATATAATAAAATTGAAAGAATATACTAAAATAACATATAAAAACAGAAAATGTATAAAATTCATCAAAATAAATAAAATCCACCAACTACAAACTAAAGTAAATCATACCTTATAAGATATAAAAATCTCAAGTTCTTTTATCTACAAAACAATTAATCATTTGTTAGTAATTAGGTGATAAGGAAAAATATGAAAATAAAAGTGAAATCAAACTAAAAATCTGAAATTAAATGAAATCAAACCTAACCTAATGAATTACTAACAATAGGTGACCTACAACATTACACATTGAGATAAGTTAGTTTATAAAAATATCACAATTTATTAATTTTTTCACCAAAAATATAAAAGTATAGCAAATTTGGTGAAATTTAAAAGGATATGTGATAGGAATCAAGATGATAGTACATGTACGATGTCAAGTGATCCATTGTATATTCAAAGAGGTCCAATAATGAGAATTAGAGTTAAGAAGATATGAGCAGCTGTAAATGGGCTTATTAGGTAAAGTTGGGTTAGGAACAATGTACAATACGTAAATCTAAACTAGAGGTTTTAGGGCTTAATAAACACCATTTAAGTTCAAAACAACTTATTTGAGATCATTTGAGCTAAATTGCACAGTTTGGGTCAAAATTGCTCAATTTTATCGCAATTTTATCACAAATTGATGTTTTGCATTATTTTATTGTGCATTTTTTGAGTTATTTTAGCAAAATATTATTTTAATTTAAGCTCAATCCTTATTTTATTAAACATAGCACCTATTCAAATTTATTTTGGCAATAGTGCCTATCTAATTCTTTTATTAATTGAATTTGCACATAGAGTCTAATTTCTTATTTTGACTTAGACTAATTTAGCTATTTAAAGCCTTGTAACCTTAATTAAGGGCAGTTATTGATTCTGAGATTAATTGGAAGACTTTTTCTCTTGTTTCATTTACGAACTTATAGAACTTATCAAAATTATTCTTGTGGTGTTATAATCTGACTTATCACTCTCATTCTTAATCATTCTTGAGTGTGGCATTAAAAAAATCCTTTTTATACCTTTGGTTTTTATTTCAATATAAACAATAAGTCAAAGTTTGTCTCTATTAAATTCAATTTGGCTTTCCTTAAGGGTTTGAATTTTCTTATTGTACGTATAAGCCTTATCACACTTTTTGGGGTTTGCATCAATATGATGATCTATACTAACCCAAAACCAGCATCCATCTTGTAAAACAAAAACAAAAGGCAAGAATGAAATCAGTATATATAGTATAAAAGATTAAATGCGAGAATTAAAAAGAAAAAAATTAAAAAATTAGAATAACTATTGTCAATTAAAAAAAGTAAAATGCTATTCTATAAACTAAGGAAAATTGTTAATTTAAAGCCACTAAAAACAATGGCCAAACCAAAGAAATGGGAGGGAAGAAGGAGGAGAGAAAGAAAGGGAAAAAATAAAGAGGACTGTTGTGAATGTAGTACAAACACTAGTAAGTAATTAGTTTATTACATTAATAAAAACTTATTATTTAAATAATTTTCCAAATTTCGAATAAATATTGGCAAAATAACTTTTATCGATGTGGCTAACAATGTTGTTTGGTGTAAAATGGTTGCCAAAACTACTTTCATATATTTTGGCCTAATCACTAACATGGGATGCATTGCTACAAGAAAAAAATTAATAGCCTTAAAATTTCAAACTGAAAAATTTTGAGGGTAAATATTTTGAATTTACCCATTGAATCAGCAATGTACCATGCCCTACTCAAGGAAAAAGAAAAAAATGTACTAACCTAGGATGCATTACTCAATTCCATAGGTAGTTGAATTGACTCATTGAGTTATCAGAAAAAGGTATAAACACATGCAATGTCGGTTAAACCTTAAAACGCCAATGTGGTTTATATAGAAAAATTCATTTATTATTAGAAAAAATTTAGAATCACTTGCTACATCAGTCATTTTACTTTCAGTAACATGGTTTGTATAGGAAAGTTTTGTTTGTATCAGTAATGGTATGGGTTGACCATTTGACCTTATAGCATTTTACGTTGGTGAAATTAAACATCACCCACATGTGTAGATATGACAATAAATTTACTTTATTGAAAATTCATCTTTCAGCAATTGATATAAGTTGTTACTAAACTAAAATGAAATAGATATGTAGAGGGAACTCAAAGTAGCCAGGATTAATAACCAAGGGATAACTTTAAAATAAAAAGTTATTGAGCTATAAACCTTTAAACATTTACCATTTGCTTATTCACAAAAAGCAAAAAAAAAAAAAAAAATGGTACTTGTCGTTTGAAGATACACTCAAATGTTACTTGAATTGCTAGCATCACTAGAAGATCTGTTTTATCCTAAGACTCTTTCAAATGATTTGCCACTTGAATAAATTTTTGAATTGATAAATTAAATATAGGCTTATCTACAAATATAAAACATTGAATAATAGAAATTGTTAATTAAAAAAGAATGATGAAATCTCTCAAAAGAATGCCAAATTTCCCTAATTGAATATCATATCTCATCATAAGATTATATACTATGAGAATCATTTTATCATGAATATTAATCTCTCTACGAACTTTATATTAAAAAATTATAAATTTAAGATCAATTTAGCATTTAAAAAAAAAAACCTTTAATCTAATGAGAAAACAAAAAAGCAAGACTCCTGAAAAAAAAATTACAAGGAAACCTAAATGAAATGATGTGTTTCATTAAAAACAATTTTTTTTCGTAAAATAGTTGTTTCTCTCTTCTCTAAAACCACTTTCCTCTTTTATACAGTTTAGCAACTCAATGCTAAGAAACAAGAGTGAGAATTCATCAAAAAAAAAAAAAA